TGGGGAAATACTGCTTTTTCAATAAATAGTACAAGGTGAAAGAGCAATAAAACCAAAGGTGAAAGATCAATGAAAACAAAGTTTCTATAAAGTATCAAGTGTAATTCTTCATAATATTGTGGTAGGTAAAGAGTTTGTATATAGGACACAAACAGCAATAGCATAAAGGAAATATCATGAATTGTACTAAAAATTAAATCTCCTTCACTAAAAGACACTCTTGAAATAGTAAAAATACAAACCATGGAGTGAAAAGATACATTTGCTTTTGAAAAAAATATTCATATTAAATGTAAATAAAGAACTCTCAAAAATCAGTAAGAAAAGACAAAGTTGTGTATGTGGGCCTTGAATGCAAACATTACTGAACATGAATATGTAGAAGTTGAGCTAGCTGGATTTATTTCCTTTTTTACTTTACATTTAGTTCTCAAAATATTTAGAAATGGATAGAATGATATGTTCAATAATGTCCTTTCTGTAAAATGTGATTCATGCAAAGAGGATGCTCTTTGTCACACAATTCCAAACACAGAGCTGTGAAGGAGAACAGAATAGAAAGGCTGCCCCAAAATGTGTCACTTTGACATGTGGGTTGTTTAAAATTGAAGGTAATCAAAACCCAGCAGATTCAAGACAAAATTTTACTTTCCCTTAACTACCTAAAAGAATTTAGACATTCAGTCTGGTCCAGAGCAGAGCTATTGCCAGAGATTACTTTTATCTGAATGACCTGCTTATGGCAGGACAAAGATCTACTGTCCAACCATCTGCTTTTCTTATCCTGTTAATTACCCCTACCCCTTTGAAACACTAGGCCCCTGTGCCATCCCTTTGCGCAGGATGGCACATAAACAATTGCCTGACTTACCCTTGGGTCTCTTATCTTTGGAACCCTCATATGTATGAAATTAAATTTATCTTTCTCCTGTTAGTCTACCGTCAGTCAACTTGTTGGGCCAGTCAAAGAACCCAAAAGGAAACAAAGGAAAATTTTTATAACCCTACATTTTGACTATATCACAGCAATGTCATTATGAGTTTTTGAATAACTGGTTTCTCCTCATTTGTTAATAATAGTAAAAATAGTAATGCCAGCCCACATAAAGCAAATTATAGTTGCATTTTATTAAACAGTTACTATAAATCAAACACTTTAATAAGAATTCTAAATCACTAGCTTTCTTTAGGCAATTAATAAGCATACAAAATAGATACTGTTATTGTGACCCTTCTTTTACAAAAGAGGAAAATGGAACTAAAGGTGTTAAATAATTCCCCCAAATCAAAAAACTAATGAAAGATGCAGTTCAGACTCAAATCAGCTGCCTGCCTTTGGAGATCATGATTTTTTTTTTTAAAGATTTATTTATTTATTTATACAAGCACTGGGTACAGTCAGAAGCGCTGGAGGGTGAGAGAATTCACCAGAGCCAGAGCAGGGAATAGAACAGGCAGACTGACGAAATACACTGCTGAGGAGAGCAGCAGGCATGGCAGGAGAGGTCTGCATGCCATGTGGGACCCTCGCCGGCCGCCCAGCCAGGGATCAAACCGGCGCTGCAGAGGCTGTGGGCAGCTTTGCAGCCTGGTGCTCAACCGCTGCGCCACCAGGGGAGGCCCTGGAGATCATGTTTTTTAGCTCAATGCAATATAGTAATGAAGTATAGTAAATTCCCTTCAATTTCAGCATATTTACTACCACTTTTTCTAATTAATGACTCCTAATGAAAAGGTCCATTTGTAATTTTTTCAGTCCTCAGGATACCCTGATGGCTAACCACTGAGTAAATAAATCAGTTATAGGATTCCTAAATTAAGTGCTTGATAATGGAAAAGCCAACAGTATCTGCAGATGCTTTTTACTCTACACAGTATTGACTTATTTAATAATCCGTTCTTCAAATAGAAGTTGAAAACAAGGCATATTTGCTGAGTATTCCCTTTACCATCCCATTCAGGAGTGCTTATGTAATGAATAAATGACCAGGAAATTTACAGGAAGGAGAGCTCAACCAATTAGATTTTTACTGCTTTGATTATAAGGAATGCTTACTAGAGGTTATTTGGAAATACTGAAAAATGTAAAGAAAAAGATAAATTGCCCAAAATCCATGAAGTGTTGAACCTTTTTTAAAAAATCTAAACCTAGTTCTAAAACTTTGCATTATTTTGACCATCTAGTTTTGTATTTTGTATAATATTATGATAAGCATTTTCAGGTTAAGTTGCTTATAAAAATTATTTTAGTAGCTGTATTAACCTTTCAATTTATATTGAACTATAATATATTTAATCAAGTTTCTATCTTGGTGTTTTTCCTCCAAATTTTAAAAGCAATTTTATAAATAATGCTGATATAATTGTGTATAATATATACTTATCCAAGTGAAGTTAAAATATAATGGTTATAGACCATTTTATGGTTTTATTACTCATGGGGTAGATCTCCAAATTGTTTTCCATATAGCTCGGTTACAATAGTAATATATGTTAATGAACAATAGTCATGATCTTCTCTTTGCACCTTTCAATATTTTAAAAATACACATCTAGGAATTATGTATATATAGCTCATATAGCTCATATTAAAACTAACCAAATAGATTAAACCTTTTCTTTGAAAGTATTCATAAACAGGGACTCCCTGGTGGTACAGGCAGTTGAGCACAGCACTGTGAAGCTGTCCGCAGCCTTTGCAGCACAAGTTTGATCCCGGCCAGCCAGGGAGATTTCCACATGGTGAGGCAGATCTCTCCTGTCTCGCCTGCTGCTCCCCTCAGCAGTGTATTTCAATTAGTCTGCCTGTTCTGTTCCCCACTCTGTCTCTGGTGAATCCTCTCACCCTCCCACACATCTGGCCTGTACACTGGTTCTTGTATGTATAAATAAATCTTTTTTTAAAAAAAATAAAGTATTCATAAACAAAACAACTCTTAGGTAAATCATATTTCTCATGCAAAAAAGAAATATTGAGAGATCTTGCTAATTGTTTAATTAAAAACTTATACTTTAATGATAATGGCAAAATTGTAAAATAGAGGTAATGTAGGAAACTGATTTTAAAAAAAAGCCCATGAATGATTACATAGTAAAAAATATTTGAAATCAGTAGCATAGGTTAATGATGTGTTCATTCAACTCTTCTCTCATTTCTTCAATCAGCAAATATTTACTTTTTGTATACTGTTACTTTGTTATGCAGTGACAATATAATAACCATAAAAACATAATCTCTTGATTATAGACAGCTTACAGATGAAAGTGAGATGCAGTGAAAACACAAACCCAGCACCATGTTTATGGAAAGTCAAAGCAACTTGGGTTGGCTGGACTATAGAGTTTGACAAGGAAAAACCTGGTAGTAGATAATGTTTAAGTAGGAATGATATCATAAAGTAATTGTAAATTTAATAAGCCAGTTTACCTTTAAGGCTACAAGTTTGCCTTTATTTTCCCTCCAATAAATAAAATGCTTTAAGTTGGACAGTTGGTTGATAAAAATTGTAGAGAATAAAACTAGAAAGGAACAAGATCCCATTCTGGTTAAAGATCAGATAACAAGCTAGCAGTCATACAGAGGAAATATGATGGTAGATTGAAGAAGGATAATAGTAGTGGGAAAATGGTTTGAAGGATTCAAGGTCAGGAATAAGTGGGACTTGGCCACTAATTGGCCATGGAGCTGAAAGTTGTAAGAAGGCTGAAGAGTTTAGGATGACAGTAAGGATGATATCTCAGATAACAGAAATAAACCTGCCTAACTCCTTCAGCTGTTGCTTTGCTTCAAGACTGACAAAGTCATAGGACAAATAATCATGGAATGTATTCTTAGTATCTGCTTCCTTGTTAATGAGACTGCATTTGTAGAAACACTGAGTTGATCCTACATTTTAGTAAGAGTAAAAATAACTTGCCTTACATTTTTATAGTGTTAATCAATTTATAGAATACTTTCAAGTGCATAGTACCTTTTATATCCCAAATTTTCTGAAGATGGTAGAGTATAAATAACTGTTCTCATTAAATGAATAAGTAGACTGAGACTTGACAAATTTAACTATTTGACCAGCTGACATCTCTAACAAATGATAAAGCTCAGACCCAAACATAAATCTTCCACTTCCATAATCAAGTTTCCTGCCAAAAAATATTCTGACCCTCCAAATTTCATGTTGTGTGTATATACTGGTTAGACATGCCAGTATATTTACCACTTGACAGCATTATATAAATAGATGAAATTGGATAACTTTAGACTAATCACAGAAGATAAATTTACTTTTTCAAGGATGCAAATGCCTCATTTTCAGAGTGAGAAAGTAAGTTAAAGTATAGGTAGAAATTTAGTTATAACTAAAACTGTTTGCTTATAACTTATAAAAACTTTAAATTGCTTAAGTCAAGACAGAGGGAGGCATTGTTATGGGAGAGGAATCGGTGAAGTTGGGTTTGGAGATGACTGGAACTAAGCATTAACATTGGCAAGATTTTCTGCATCTGTCTTTGATATTTGCTTGTGTGTGTCTTCATTTGAAGACAAATGGTAAAAGATGCTTAATGAAAAATGGACAAAAATAATATAAATCAAAGCAAGAAAATTAACTAAAGTGGAGACTTATGTTAACAACAAAATATCAATATTGATTTATTAATTGTAACATATATGCCATACTAATATAAAATGTTAATAAGAGAGGTAACTGGGTGTGGGATATATAATTTTCTTCTATCTCCACAATTTTTCTGTCTCTCTATTCTAAAATAAACAATGTTTAAAACTAATATTGAAATGTATATGTTCACATGTAAAGATTTCTGAAACACTGAAATAATCCCAGAAGTGAGATTACTGATAGTTCTATTTTTAAGTTTTTGAGGAACTGCTATTTCCATGACTGTATCAATTCACATTTCAACCAACAACATATAAAGGTCCTCTTTTTCCCACTCCCTCCCTAACACATTTTATCTCTTGTCTTTTATAATTTTTTTTTTAGCAATGTGAATTCAAGAGAAAGACAGCAGAACAAAAAATCAGAAGCAAGAAAAACTAAAGAGTTATAAAAGACAACCAGGAGTACATTGTCATAATCTAAAACAGGTAAGTTAAAATGCACAAGTTGAAAAGTGATTTTCTCACTTCTGGAAGATGAATCATGTAAATTGAGATTATACAAAGTCTTTACTCAAAGAATAGAACAGAACATATTTTTGCAGAAATTATAACTGAGCTAAAGGTGGTTGTTATTAAGAATCCACTGTGTGCTAGGCACTTTTATGTGCTCAGAATATATCAGTCAATATAATAAAGATCTATGATCCCTGTAGCTTAGATTCTAGTTGGGGAAAATAGACAATAAATAATTAGCATGATAATAAGTAAGTTTATATGGTGTGTAGGAGGTAAAAACTATTCTGGGAAAAAGAATGAATTAAGGGGAATTAGGAATTCTGTACAGTGGTCAGAATAGATTAATTGGAGGAGGTAACATTTGAGAAAGACTTGAAGGAAGGATGTGAGAACAAGATTTAAGAGCTGCTTTTAAATTGCCAGTCAGAATGTATTTGTCAGCCCTGTATGTAGCTCAGACATTAAATGTAGTAAAAAAGCTTTACCCTTGGAAATGGGAATATTTCATTCCAGGTTCTTATCCTTCTATTTACCTGTATGACCTTATGGCTTAAATCATTTAAATTCAATGACTTAACTCAATTTTTTCATCTGCAAAATGAATTTTGCTTATCAACATAATATCAGTATAGGGAAAAACCTTCACATTTGATAAATTTTTATTTTCAAATAGATTTAGATTTGCATAAAGCTGTGAAGATTGTAAAGAGCGTTCCATTATACCCCATACACAGTTACCCTATTTTTAACATCCTACCTTGATATGGTATATATTTCCATAATTAATTTTTTTTAAAGATTTATTTATTTATTTATTTATTTATTTATTTATTTATTTATACAAGCACTGGATACAGTCAGAAGCACGGGAGGGTGAGAGAATTCACCAGAGCCAGAGCGGGGAGCAGAACAGGCAGAAGGACTGGAGTACACTGCTGAGGGGAGCAGCAGGCAGCAGGAGATGTCTGCGTGCCATGTGGGACCCTCCTCTGGTGGCTGGGGAGCAACCGGGGATTGAACTGGCGCTGCGGAGGCTGCGGGCAGCTTCGCAACCCGGCACTCAACTGCTGTACCACCGAGGAGGCCCTATTTCCATAATTAATTAACCAATATTGATGAATTATCTTTAACTTAAGTCCATATCTTATTCACATCTATAACTTTTACCCAGTGTCCCTTTCCTGTTCCAGGGTCCCATTCAGGATATCATATTAACCTAATTTCAGATCCACGGAGACTCCTCTTGGCTGTTACAGTTTTTCTTCATTTTTATGACCTTGGCAGTCTTAAGAATGTACCTCAAGTGGGAACTGTATCATGTTTTCCTCATGATTAAACTGAGGCTGTGGATTTTGGCAGGAAGACCACAGAGGTAAGTGTCATTCTCATCACATCATAGTAAAGGTACTTACATACTATAAACATGACTTATAAAAGTTGATATAAACCTTGATCAGCTGGCCAAGATAGCTTTCTCCAAAAACTTCACATTTTAAAGTGAATTTCTTCCCTCTTAGACACCTGGTGGGAATGTAAAGTGATCCAGTCATTGTGGAAAACTGGGTGGAGTGTCCTCAAAACACTAAAAATGGATCTACCATATGATTCAGTGATTCCACTCCTAGGAGTCTATCCAAAAAACACAAAAACACTCGTTTGAAAGAAAACCTGCACTCCTATATTTATCGCAGCACTATTTACAATAGCCAAAATTTGAAAATAGCTTAAATGGACCAATACAGACAAATAGATGAAAAAGTTGTGGTATATATACACAATGGGATACTACTCAGCAATCAAAAAAGACAAACTCATGCAATTTGTGGCATCATGAATGGAGCTGGAAGGTATCATGCTAAGCAAAATAAATAAATATTGGATGGTTTCACTTACATATGGAATATAGAGAAATCAAACAAATGGTCAAGAAAAAGACAAAACTTTCAAGCCAACCATAGATCTGAGGCAGACAACAAGAGACACGGGAGGGAGAGCTCAAAACGGAAGGGAAGAGCACAAGGGAATATGATGACGGCTCATGGGTGCTGTGGTGGTGGGAGAACTAGGGAGACTATACATAAGGGAGAAACCAATTACTTTACAAAAATGAGCAACAATGTAAGAAAATAAATAAATAAATCTGGGTTTCTTAGGGACCAGTAAAACTAAAATCTGGGTCATGTCATTTTATGATATTTGTTAAGTCCACCTTTCCAGGTTAGGAAATCTATAACTGTTAAACCTGTATTGCAAAATCTATTTTTGTACTTCATTGTTCTGAAATGCATCAATTCCATAAAACAGCACATAGCTGTCATGACAAAAAGTAATTTCTGAGTTATTTTCCCTCCAATAAATTTTGTGGGAAGAACAGGAGTTTTATCATATACTTCCTTATAGCTGAATGTAAAATCTTTGACCATATTTTCCTTCAATTCTCTTTTAACATAAGTGCTAAGAAAAAATACCTCTTATCTTGCAAACATGTCAAATGTATATGTTGCTTTGGAATGTAATTGTACTACTGTCCAGCAAGTTCTGTTCAGAATTGGAAGTACATTTCCTAGTGACAAGAACATATTTCACCTGAAGCAGCAAGTTGGGTATCGGGCCCTAGATTCTATCTCAGAAAATGAAAAGCAAACTAGTCTAATAGAGGATAGGCAGGCCTCTCAGGCTAACCAAAGCCTTCATCTCTTTCTAATTTTGCTTTCATGATTCCCACAGAGTAAATTATATTGCTCAAAGTAAAAAGGGACCCTGTGGACTCCCTTTCTTATTCTTTTGTATAGCTTTCTAAAGAGGCCAGGCTCAGAGTAAGCCCAAATTTTAGAGTCACACAGTCAATACCAGCAACACAGATGTTTGCATTGTTGTGTATTGCCATTTAAAAAAAAAAAAAAGAAATCCATTTCAATCAAAAGCAATGCTAGAGAGACAGAGTGGCATCTGGGGGTGGTTCATTACAAAGTTTTTGGTTTGTGATTTTGATCTGTCAAAGTGCTGTAAGCAACTGATTCAGCCGCTGCTGTACTGCAGGGGTCCCCTCTCCCTCCTGGGAGTGGTCAGAACCTCACCCAGAGAAGCGCATTCATCTTTGGAATGTCCTCTTCTGCTACTGCTGCCCAGAGTCCCTTCTGCCACACACTCTCCCTATTGATCTAGAACTTTTTGATTTGGTGAGTTAGAAGTCCCAAAGAGCTGTGTAATTTGACATATGTTTGAAAAATAAAACATTCTATATCCAAAGACTTAAATTTCTAGGCATAGCTTATTAGTAGGTATTGTTTTCACTCAGCTGATCCTATCCACATTTCTCAAACTGATAAACCCAGTATGGCTTTGGGTAGCTATAAATAATTCATTGCCAAAGATGTTACGTAATTCAACTGCATCTTTTATTATTTATTTATTTTTTTAATTTTATTTTTATATTCCCCATACAATTGCAACCCCCTTATTTTGACCCCAATCCCTCCTTTCCCCACCCCCCACCCCCCATAGAGTGTCTCTGGTTTATAGTTGTTTGTTGATTTTGATTTTTACTTTCTTATAGTTATTCTTTTTCCTGGTCTCTTATTTAAGTTTTCTAGATTCCTGCTAGGAGTGAGGTTTTAATATTTTAAGTTTTCATTTAACCACCCTTTACCTTTCCCCATAACTCAGTATGGGTTATCATCATTATAAATCCTAGTCATAACATACTGGCTAGAAAAAGGGGGGAAAGGAATAATTAGTGATTGGTGGAAATACTTCCCCTTAAATATCACTATTTTATTTGTTAAATGTATTTGTGTGTGTACATTTTGTTTTTAATATTTCTTATTTATTTGTATTTTTTATTGACTTAACATTCATTTTTAATACTGAAAATGATTCATAGGTACAGGTTCACACCTCTTTAGATGTATGTTATCATATGACACCTACCACCAAGGCACCAAAAGTCCTTCACTATAGAAAATTGTAGTGCTCCCCTCAACTTTTCTCTCTTTCCTCTCACTCTCCTTCATGAAGCTTCAATGTACAGTCAGATTTCTAGTGTTTGTTATTGTTTTACTTTTATATGACCCTTTGTTTTGTTTCTCTATTTTCCACATATAAGCGATGCTATCTGGTATTTGTCTCCCGCTTTCTGACATATTTCTCTGGCATAAACCCCTCCATTTCCATACATGCAATCCAAAAAGGCACAAGTTTACCCTTTTATAAGAAAAAAGTAAGAGTAGTATTCCATTGTATGTATATATCACATCTTCCTGATCCACTCATCTGGGCACTTAGGTTGGTCCCATAACTTGACTATTATAAGTAGTGCTGCAGCGAACATCGAAGTACATATGTTCCTTTAAAATTAGTGTTTTTGCGTTCTTCTGATAGATAATTAGGAGTGGAATTGCTGGATTATATTTTTTTTTTTTTAAAACAGGTGAAAATATCTTACTCTTTATATATATTAAGCATACAGCTATAACTATAAATACATACAGTACATAAAACATCTATGGTTTTAAGATATCACAGGGGGTGAGTAAGAAAAAATATCAAGACTCTTTAAGGGGATGATGATTAAGAAGAAAAAGGTAATGATGTCCTCACGTGAATGACTTTCAATCAAACCTTTGATATGTATGAGCTTACCACTATTATTACTCAGTTGGAATTTCACTCAAAAGCAAATGAAAGTCATATCATGATTTTTGATAAATATCATTGTTCATTCAACAATGAGCACTTTCTCGGGCAATGTTTAAGATGATAGGAAAATCATCTAAACTCTTCCAGATTTGGAACTTACTTTCAAATCTTTAACTCATTTTGAGTTAATTACTGTGTATGGTATAAGATAGTGGCCCAGTTTCATTTCTCAGTATGTGGCTGTCCAATTTTCACAACACCATTTATTGAAGAGATTGTCATTTTCTTATCATATTTTCTTGGTTCTTTGTCATAAATTTATTTTTTTTAATTTTTTTTTTTGGTGTGCCTCTCTTTATTTTTTTTTATTTTTTTTTTTTTTATAAATTTTATTGTTATATTCCCCATACAATTGCCGCCCCCCATTCTGACCCCAATCCCTCCCCTCCCGCCCCCGCCCCCTAAAAGTGTCTCTGGTTCATAGTTTTTTGTTGATTTTGATTTTCACTTTCTTATAGTTTTTCATTTTCCTGGTCCATTATTTAAGTTTTCTAGATTCCTGCTATGAGTGAGACCATCCGGTATTTTTCTTTTTCTTTTTGGCTTATTTCGCTGAGCATGATCCCTTCCAGCGCCATCCATGTTGCAGCAAATTGCATGTGTTTATCTTTTTTGAATGCTGAGTAATATTCCATGGTATATATGTACCACATCTTCTTGATCCAGTCATCTATTTTTGGGCATTTGGGTTGTTTCCAAAGCTTAGCTATTGTAAACAGTGCTGCTATAAACATAGGGGTGCAGGTGTTCTTTGGAATTGATGTTTCTGTGTCCTTTGGGTAAATACCTAGGAGTGGAATTGCTGGGTCATATGGAAGCTCTATGTTTAGTAGGTCCAGAAATCTCCACACAGCTTTCCACAGAGGTTGGACCAGTTTGCACTCCCACCAACAGTGCAGAAGAGTTCCTTTTTCTCCACACCCTCGCCAACATTTGTTGTTGCTAGTTTTTTTAATATGTGCCATTCTCACTGGTGTAAGATGGTATCTCATGGTAGTTTTGATTTGCATTTCCCTGATGACAAGTGATGTTGAACATTTTTTCATATGCCTGTTGGCCATTTGCATTTCCTCTTCAGAGAAGTTTCTTTTAAGCTCTTCTGCCCATTTTTTGACTGGATTATTTTCTTTGTTGTTGTTGAGTCTCATCAGCTCTTTGCAGATTTTTGTGATCAGTCCTTTATCATTAGTGTTGGGTGCAAAAATGTTCTCCCAGTTGGTGGGGTTTCTCTTTGTTTTTGTTATTGTCTCTTTTGCTGTGCAAAAGCTCTTTAATTTGATATAGTCCCAGCTGTAAAATTGCCGTAGGGGCCAGACCAGTTTACGTGTACACTAATTGTGTATGACGGTTTCTTTTTCAGCACACCTTGACCAACTCTTATTGTTTCTTGTCTTTTAAGATGGGCCATTATCACAGGTGGGAGGGCTTACCTCAGTGTGGTTTTGATTTGCATTTCCCTGATGACAGTGATGATGAGCATTTTTTTCTTGTCCCTTGGTTATCACTATGTCTTCTTTGGATAAGTGTCTGCTTAGCAGTTCTGCCCATTTTTATGTTTGAGTTTGTTTTCTTTTTCTGAGTTGTATGAGTTCTTTGTAGATCTTGGATATAAGCCCCTTGTCAGATATATAGCATGCAAATATTTTCTCCCATTCAGTAGGATATCTTTTCATT